ATTGATGATAATGGTTGTTGATGATAATGACTGTGATGATGGTGATGAGAATGACAGAAAATGAGTGATGAGAATGATGATGATGATGATGATGATGATGATGATGATGATGATGATGATGATGATGAATGATGAGAATCATCCCTCTCATCCTCATCCTCATCTTCATTCTCGTCATCCTCCTCATCATCATCCTCGTGATGATGATGGTGACTGATGATGAAGAGGATAATGATGAAAATGATGATCGTAATGTTGATGCTGATGACAGTAATCAGGAAGAGGATGACGATAATAATGAGGGTGATGGTAATGATGATTATGAATATGGTGATGATGATGAGGAGAATGAGGATGATGCAGTTGATGAGGAAGATGATGAGGTAGATGATGATTGATGATGGATAATGATGAGGAAGAAAATGATGCTGATAAGGATGGTGAGGATAATGATGATAATAAGGAGAATTAGGATGATGAGTTTGATGATAATGATTATGATTGATGAGGATGATCGTGATAATGATGAAGATAATTAATAAGAATGATGTTGATGAGGTTAATGATGAAGAATGAGAAACATCCCCTCTGCCCCTCATTCTCATTTTCATTCTTGTCGTTCTCCTCTTCATCATCATTCTCATGATGAGGATGATGATGATGTGGTTGATGATGATGAGGACACGGATGATGATGATGGATGATGATGATAATGAGGACTATGATGATGAATGATGAATGAGTGATGATAATAAGGAGGATAATGATGAGGTTGATGATGATGAGGATAAGGATGATGATGGATGAGGATGATTAGTAGGTTGTGGTGATGGTGATGATGATAACGATGATTGTTGAGAATGGTGATGAGGGTTACAATGATGAATGAGGATCAATGCCATAGCCAGGTTTTTCAAACGGTGTGGGACAATATCAGGGTGGACCCACTTTACGTGTAAATTTAAACAATGACGTGGACTGGACCCATATTCTTAAATTTTACCCATTTTTAGCTAAATATGAGAAATCTGGATCCATTTCATGCATAAATTTACATAATTTGGACCAATTTTTAAAATGTGGACCCATTTGAAAAATGGTGTGGGACTTTCCCAAATGTGCCAATAGCTGGCTACACCATTGATGATGACGAGGATGATGATGGATGAGGATGAATATGATGAGTATGATGGTGAAAAAAATGAAGAAGGATGAGGAGGAGGATGAAGATTATGAGGATGATGATAACGACGATAGATGATCGATGAGGATGTGATGAAGATGAGGAAGATAACGATGGATGAGTATGATGTGATGATGGTGATGATTACAACGATCGATGACAGTAAGGATGATTATGATGACGAATAGGATGAGTATGATGATGACAGATGATGATAATACTGTAATGATATCAATAGTGGTGATAAAAATATTATAAATAATATTATTATATAACAGTACTAACATTGTAATTCATTTTAATAATAAACTATAATTTTGAAATAATAAGAATATAATATAGTAATATATAATATAATAATATTAATAATGATTTCAACAATAATAAATAAGCATATACTACTATTAAAATAATAATATTTATATATATTCTATACGTGTACATTGCTTTGATGAGATTGTATTTTATACTTTGAGAACAATAATAATAATAATAATGATAATAATAATAACAAAGATAGTAGAAATACAAGATAGAGTTCTCGCATTGTAAAAATGAGGCGGAAGTCGTGCCCAACGTAGGCGGCGCCCTTCTTTTTAACCATGCAAGTTTCCTGTACTTCGTGCCCAACGTACAGGGCGCCCTTCTGTTGTCGACGCCATTACTGGGGAGTCCCTAGTCCCCTAAATGGCAATGCGGTGTGGTGTGTTTATAAACAAAGTACCATTGAGAAATCCGGCTTTTTATCTTGCCGTCACAGTCGAACCAAAAGTTTATCGAAGTTAAAAGATAAGTATATTATTATGTGTATTTAAAACAGAATAAAGATACGACTTAGAAACGTCTACTCTCTGATCTGGACTGGAGGAGGATCTAGGCTAGGCCTACTCGTACTCCTTTCCTTTTGGCAGGTCCAATGCGATTTGTCAAGCGCGGCGGTGTATTATCCGCGCAGCAGATAACCAATTTATTTTGGCCTAGCTTAGAAGACTGCTCAGTCAGTGTGTCAGTAGGCTACTGGATAACATGACAACGACGTCTGTTTCCTATGTAGGCTATCTGCTAATTTGTCATCTGCTATTATTTTAAACAGACCATAAAAATGATATAAATATTATTTAATAAATGCTATTATTACCCTAAGCCTAGTAATACTACTAGCCGAGTCCTAGGCCAACAACAACGCTCTAAACCAAGGCCATGCTATGTCTTAGTATTTAGCCCTACAATTTTGGTGAAATGTTTTAAACGTAATTTTGAAGTAGGCCTATGATGTGGAAAGATGATATTCAAGAATGACCGAGACTTAATTTCATA